TAGCTTCGAGGGAGTTCTTGTGGTCCGTGAAGACCGTGACTTCGCGTCCCCACAGTAACGATCTGAACTCGCGTAGCATTTCGAGAACACTCAGCAGTTCCTTCTTGTTGGTGGTATACTTCTCTTGCGCTTGGTTGCACTTGCGTGACCAGAAGGCCAGTGGTTTGCCGCGCTGCATGACTACTCCTCCCAATTGATGCGCCGACGCATCGGTGTACAGTTCAAACGGTACGTTGTAGTCGGGGTATTGTAGCTGCACGTTTTCGGCTATGCGCACCTTGACCTCTTCAAACGCTCGTTGCTCTTTCGGTCCCCACCGAAAGGGAACCTTGCGTGAAGTGAGCGCCGTCAGTGGAGCTAACAGCTCCGATCGCCCCCTCCACATGTCCTTGTAATAATTTGCCATGCCGATAAATCTGCGTAAGTCTCGGATATTTCGCGGACGAGCGAGGTTCAATATCCCATCGATCTTCTTTCGAATCGGCTCCTTCCCCTCTCGTGTAATCTTGTACCCCAGATACTCGACTTCCGTCATGCAGAACTTGCTCTTCTCCGGGTGGACCACTACTCCCGCATCACGCAAGCGTTTAATCACGTGACGGATGTGCTGTAAATGTTCCTCGAATGAGTTCGACAGCACCAGCACGTCGTCAAGGTACACTCTTACAAACGGTAGGTCTCCCAACAGTTCCTGCATGGCTCCATGAAACTCGTCCGGCGCCGTACTAATGCCCATTGGTAGCCGACAGTAGTGATACTTCCCCCAAGGCAGGACCACCGCTGTGTATGGGCGGCTCTCTGGGGCTAGCACTCGGCTATAGTACCCCATAACTAGGTCCAGGGCCGATACGAAGGCGGGTTTCGGTAGTTCCCTCATCAGGTCTTGAATCTTGGGCAACGGGTAGTAATGACGCTCTAGGCACTGGTTCAAGCCCCGAAAGTCCGTCAGGAAGCGAACGGATCCATCCTTTTTCGGTATGATAAACGCAGGTGCGGCCCAGGGTGAGTCCCTGTCTGGTTCCAGTACCCCCAGCTTGACTAGCCTCTCCACTTCCCGCAGCGTAGCTTCCCGTAAGATCGTGGGGATCGAGTACGGTCGCGACGCCTTGGGCGTGCTTCCCTTTTTGACTGGCAATATGTACGGTTTCAACTTCATTTTTCCTATTCCCCCAAGGAATACCGTTCGAAAGGACTGTAGGCATTCCCACAACCTATCCTGTTGTTCCTGGTTCAAATGTTCTTTCGGGATGAGCTTCCTTAAGTCGATCTTTTTGCCCGTCACGTCCAGGACACGTATAGTGCGGTCATCGGCGTCTTGTACTGCCAATGCCACGCGTCGCGGTGGTTCGGAGTCACTGTTCATAGCCATTTCACGACCTGCCCAGCGTACCACATGCGCGGCGTAGTCGATGACGATGCCCTGTTCTCGCATAAATTCCGTTCCCAGGATCACCGGATGTAGCAGGGTGTCCACCACCATGAACTCTTGCGAGCACTGGCGTTTCTCCCAGAAGACCGGTAACGTAAACGGCAAGGCGAGCATGCCCATAGCAGCTTGTGGTTCCCCGTTCACGTTGCGATACTGGGACGATTGTCCTTGCGGGGTGTACCATGACACTATCTCCTTGGCCACGAGCGACTTGGTAGTTCCAGTATCCAGCAGCGCTGTGAAGGTCCGCTTGCTCAACGGGTGCTTGAGGGTGATCCTCGTGAGTAGTGCCTGCCCAGTCGTGGTCGTTCCACTCGCTGCGGCGGCTTCTTCATAGTGGTCGTCGGTTCCCGCCCACGCCAGGAGCGGATCTGGTTCCCGCATCCGGCTATGGCCGACAGCGGCGGCTGCCGACGGAGTACCTCCCCAGGGACCCTTCCGTCCCTCGCTCTTCCCCTTGCTGGTGTCCGGGCCGGAGCTCTTCGTAGCACGAGGGCGGTATCGCGGAGACGCCGGGTTTCGGAAACAGTCACTTCCCTGGTGGTTTTTCCAGACGTTGCCGTTTGTCTTGCAAAACTGGCATCCCTCCTTTTCGTCTCGCTCTCGTTTCCCCTTTCCAGACTTCCGTTCGTCCTTCTCGGGCTTCCCTGGCTTCTCGTTCTTCTTCGACTTCCCGTTGGTTTTATTTTTACCGCGCCCGCCCTTTTCTCTGTTGTTGTGCTGATCGACTTGTTCGCACTGCAGGTAGTGGTTCTGTAGCTGGCGTCGATCGGTCCATCGGGCTTGTTGGGGCACGACTTGCAACTGCCAATGGCGAGGCATCCCTGCACTGAAGTGGCGACATTGCTCGGCAGGTCCCATCGGGGTTCCGTCGTCCGGTAAAACCCATCGTTCGAGCGAGAGTAAATCCTCGAATTTGGTGGAGTACTCGGCCACCGACACGTTCCAGGTTTTCTTTAGTTCCCGGATTTCCTCGTGTAGGAGTTCTCGGGTTCCTATGGGGCAATAGCGTTCCGTGAGGGCGTCCATGGCGATAACACTGGACCAGTAGACCGACTTTCCGGCGTTACGTTCCTCGAGGTACCGGTCGTAAAACATGTCCCCATCTCGACCGTGCAGGGGTTGGCTCAAGACCTCGCGCAGACCTCTCGCTGACGAATCACTCTTGTCCATGCCTAGGAAGAGGTATAGGCGATTCACCTCGCGTTGAAACTCTAGCCAGGCCTTCCAGTCGCCTCCACTGAACGGGGCCACATCTCGTATTCCCTTGTACCGCGATCGCGACTTGAAGCGAATTTTTGCTGGGCGCGATTCCTCGGCGTTTTTCTCCATTGTAGACAGCAATTGAAATTTCAATCTGCGATGTGTTTGTGTTGTTGAAGGTAAGTTCAAAA